CTCAAGTTAAAGGATCACAGGATCATAAATTAAGGGATGGAAGAGCTCTTAAAGGTCATTTTACAGAAGAGAAAACTGAGGTCCAGGGAAGTAAAGTGACTCCCCCAAAGTCATCAAAGTAGTGAATGGCAGAGTTGGATTCAAATGTGGGTCCTCCAACTCCAAATGTAAGATTTGTCCCACTGTACCACACTGGACGGCGAGCAGGGGATGACTGCTTCGCCAGCCCAAATGTGCCCCTGATAATGAAGAAGGCCTCACTGTCCACATTGGATGAACCTCCTGTAGTGAACTTACCAGAGGACCCACACAAGAGTCCCATGGTGGGGAAGAGGCAAGAATGAGTCGCATTCTGCAACACTGGAGGGAACAATGACAGCAGGGAGAGAGCATAGGTCCAACACAGAGATCCCAGAACCACCTGAGTTTTCTGATCCAGTATCCCATAAGAACACTTGCTGAAAACCTGAGCTGTGGTCTCAGTTCTTTCACTAACTCCCTGAATGATCTCTCAGAGTAGCAAATCTCTCCACCTTAAAAATGAAGATGACCCAAGCTCCCTTCCCTGACAAATAACCTGGCTCTAAGACAGATGAGTTACAGAGAAGAAAGAGAATTCAATTTAAAACAAGCATTTAGTCAGCACCTAAATTGCTGAGCACCATACTGTGCACTGGGGGACCAAGACAAAAATGAAACATTCCCTGTCCTCAAGCACCTTACATTTCTGAGAGCCATACATACATACATACATATATACACGCATGCATGCATATGTGCATATGTGCATGCATGCATACATAAATTTAGAAAAGACACAATTAAACAAGCCCCAACTCTTTTACACGTTGTACAGCCAGAATCCAGCAACAGAAAGCTAGCAAAAATCCTGTCTTTGCCTTCAGAAAGTTTACATTCCACTGTGAGGCATAGGCAGCAAAAGGGCACCTTAACCATTTCCAACACTGAGGTTCCTTCCTTCCAAAATAAGGAAAAGGTAAAGAATCTTCCATGACCCAGTGCCCTGGCACACAGAGAAATAAGGGAAAGGTATCTGAAGATTCAATGAGAGGCTGGAGAAATACAAATCGCTGCACTCAAAGCTCACACTACTCAAACCCAGAGACCCCTCTCAAGTTCTCAGGTCTAGAGGCCGCATGCGCAAGCTGAAGTGAAGACCACATAACTACTATTTACAATCAAAAAGGAGGAAAAGGAAGCAATTGCACCCCTCAAACCCAGTTTCACAAGAGAGCTTCAATTCAGAAGGAGAAAGAGAGAATAATTCCAAACAAGAATGAAAGCATCCTCAAGAGATAGATGAGGCTGTGGAGCAGACATACATCCTCATCAAAATGGACTGAGGTAATTAGTGTCCAGCAGCCTCTGAAGACTCGACCCTCATAATTAGTTAATAAAATCCAACTGTACTTTTCCACTGTAGACACTGATCATTTCCTACACTACAGGGATAAATGAACAGCTGAATTCAAAATCCTTAATTCAGCAACTCATTAAAAAGCAGATCAAAACAGATTTTTATTTATAAAATGCATTAAAGAATATTATGACAGGACGAATATTAAATCTGTTCTTGGCTGCCACTAATTCAGCATTAAGTTACACTTTCTCCCTGCCATCTTGCCTGAACCCCTCTACAGAGCAGTCCTCTGCTCAGCATCGGTTGGGCAAATCACCCAGAGAGTCCTGGAATCGATGGCTCATATTTCAACAGCGTTTTCCTCATAACTACCAGGGAGGAGCCCATGAAAGTATAATTTTCCCCATTTCACAAATGAGGAAATCAAGGTCTGGAAAAGTGGCTTGACCCATCCAAAAGCACAGACCAAGGAAGTTCCAGACTGGAACTTCCAAGGATCTGGGATCCAAGTCTTTTGGCTCTAAATCCAGGCCCCTCTGTCACAATGAACTGAAATACACTGGCATGTCACTGACAGCCATTCCATCCTGTGAAGACCAGTGAGCAGAGACTATCTCTCTAACTCTATAATTCTCAAATAAGCAAAGGCCTTATTAAGATAGACAAAAGAGTATGCTTGAAATTCTATATTCCCACTAAAAATCACTTTGTCAATGGAATATTATTAACTTATGTTGCAGAGAAAGAATTCTTGGTCAAATATGGATTGAACTAGATGTTCTCTGAAGTTCCTTCCAGCTGGGATTCTGATAGAACATCTTAGTGACCAGGCCCCTAAATTTTCAGCCTGGTATTTCAAGCCCTTCACAATTTGTCTCCTAACAATGTTCCTAGTCTTCCTACACACTACTTCCCATTACACACTTTGTTTCAATCAGTTGGCCCACTATATGACATTCTATCTTTAGCCTTGGTGTCTTTGTACAGGTATCCCGTTCTCCCCCCACCCTCCATACATCTGGAATGTACTCCTCTCCTTTCCTCCACCTCTTGCAATGCTAGCTTCCTTCAAGGCACAGATCAGATACTACAGGTCACACGAGGCCTTTCTCGTTCCCT